GGGATGGGGTGGGATGGGGATGGAGTGGGATGGGATGGGGATGGGAATGGGGATGGGGATGGGATGGGGATGGGGATGGGATGGGGATGTGATGGGATGGGGATGGGGATGGGGTGGGATGGGGATGGAGTGGGATGGGATGGAGATGGGATGGGGATGGGAATGGGGATGGGGATGGGATGGGGATGTGATGGGATGTGATGGGGACGGGATGGGGATGGGATGGGGATAGGATGGGATGGGGATGGGGTGGGATGGGGATGGGATGGGGATGGGGATGGGAGGGGATGGGATGTGATGGGGATGGGGATGGGGACGGGATGGGGATGGGACGGGATGGGGATGGGATGGGGATGGGGATGGGGATGGGGATGGGGATGGGATGGGATGGGGATGGGATGGGGATGGGATGGGGATGGGGATGGGATGGGATGGGGATGGGGATGGGATGGGGATGGGGATGGGGATGGGATGGGGATGGGGATGGGGTGGGATGGGGATGGAGTGGGATGGGATGGGGATGGGGATGGGGATGGGATGGGGATGGGGATGGGATGGGGATGTGATGGGATGTGATGGGGATGGGATGGGGATGGGGATAGGATGGGATGGGGATGGGGTGGGATGGGGATGGGATGGGGATGGGGATGGGATGGGATGGGATGTGATGGGGATGGGGATGGGATGGGGATAGGATGGGATGGGGATGGGGACGGGATGGGGATGGGACGGGATGGGGATGGGGATGGGATGGGGATGGGATGGGGATGTGATGGGATGTGATGGGGATGGGATGGGGATGGGGATAGGATGGGATGGGGATGGGGTGGGATGGGGATGGGATGGGGATGGGGATGGGGATGGGATGGGATGGGATGTGATGGGGATGGGGATGGGATGGGGATAGGATGGGATGGGGATGGGGACGGGATGGGGATGGGACGGGATGGGGATGGGGATGGGATGGGGATGGGGATGGGGATGGGGATGGGATGGGATGGGATGGGATGGGGATGGGATGGGATGGGATGGGATGGGGATGGGATGGGGATGGGGATGGGGATGGGAATGGGGATGGGATGAGGATGGGGATGGGATGGGATGGGGATGGGGAAGGGGAAGGGATGGGGATGGGATGGGGAAGGGAAAACAACATGCACTCCCCGAGCAATGCTGGGGAGTCCTCAATGGAATGGAATGCGAATGGAAAGGGAAAAGGAAGGGAAAGAAGGAAAGGAAAAGGAAAGGGGAAAAAAGAAGGGAAAAGGGGGAAAGTAAAGGGGAAAAATGGGGAAAAGGAGAAGGGAAAGGAAAGGGAAGGGAAAGGAGAGTCATCATGCTGCATGTGCAAAGGAAATATGTGCGCAAGGCGTGTGCAATGACAGCCTGTGACTGTGCAGTGGGTGGGTGCGTTGGTGCACGTGTGCTTGTGCACAGGTCCTGTTGCACGCCCATTGGGGTGCCTGTGCATGCAATGGGTACACATGTGGTGGTGCAATGGGCACGTGCTTGTGTACAACACATGCGTTCACACCTGTGCAGTGAGGTTCCACTGCCCAGAGAAGCTGTGGCTGCCCCTTCCCTGGCAGTGTTCAAGACCAGGTTGGACACAGGGGCTTGGAGCAACCTGCTCTAGTGGAAGGTGGAACTGGATGAGCTTTAAGGTCCCTTCCAACCCAAAGCAGTCTGAGATTCTATGGACACGCATCTGCACGTGTGCAAAGGGCACATCCACGTGCTATGTGTGCAAAGGGAGTGTGTAGACACGAGGGGCACACACACACACAAGATTTCATGTATTTCTGCTTCCCTCACATGGTTTCTCTCTCATTTCCCCTTTTCACCCCAAAACACAGTTTTCCTCTCATCCAGGATCACTTTCCATGCGGCAAATCCCCATGTCTGCAGCAAAACCCAACATGACACCAACCATTTTGAGAAGATTTGAGCTTTTTATTGCATTTAAGTTTGGTCTTTTAAATCCTCACCTCTATCCGGTCTCCACCACCCACCACTTCCTGAAGCCAGGCAGGAATTTCCCAGCTGAGCTCTGGTTTTAGGGTCCTGTGGATTCACATCCTGGGGATGGGGAGAGAGCTGGGACAGGAGCACACACACAGCAATAGTGGCAAAGCTGCTTATGGGACAGAAGTGTGGATTAAATACCAGAGAGCTTAAGACATCTTAATATGATCATATGGCTGCATCCCCTGTGTTTGGATGGACCTGAGGAACAATTCCTGCCCCAGAGGGTGCTCAGGCATTGGAACAGGCTGCCCAGGGCAGGGCTGCAGTCATTGTCCCTGCAAGTGTTCACACCCCGTGGTGATGAGGCCTCAGTGCCATGGGTTAGTGGTGGCCTTGGCAGTGCTGGGCATGGTTGGGCTGGATGAGCTTAAAGGGCTTTTCCAGCCTGGTTGATTCTATAATTTTACCAGGACACATGAGGCTGGTGAAGAACCTGGTGAAGCTTCATCATGCAGCCAAAACCCCACAGTGGTGTTTTGGGTGGGGAGCACAGGCTCTCCCTTCAAATGACTTCAGTATTTGGGAAGGCTGCTTATCATGGAATGGTTTGGGTTGGAAGGGACCTTAAAGCTCCTCCAGCTCCAAACCCTGCTATGGGCAGGGACACCTTCCACTAGAGCAGCTTGCTTCAAGCCCCTGTGTCCAACCTGGCCTTGAACACTGCCAGGGATGGGATAGCCACAGCTTTTCGGGGCACCCTGTGCCAGTGCCTCAGCACCCTCACAGGGAAGAGCTTCTGCCTTATCTCCAACCTGAACTTCACCTGTTTCAGTTTGAACCCGTCATCCCTTGTCCTATCACTCCAGTCCCTGATGAAGAGTCCGTCTCCAGCATCCTTGTAGCTCCCTTCAGACACTGGAAGCTGCTCTGAGGTCTCCACACAGCTTCTCTTCCCCAGGCTCAACAGCCCCAATGTTCTCAGCCTGTCTCCATACAGGAGGTGCTGCAGCCCCTGATCATCCCCCTGGCCTCCTCTGGACTCGCTCAAACAGCCCCATGTCCTCATGTTGTGGGCACCAGAACTGCACACAGTGATGCAAGTGCCGTCTGAGAGAGCAGAATGGAGGGGCAGGATCAGAGGGGCCCCATCTCAGCCACATCCTACAAGACAGAATTATGAAGTCTCCTCTGTGGCTGCAGGACCCCGCCTGTTTGCAGGACCCCCATGAAGCACCGGTGTTGTGCTGGTGTCACAGCCCAGCACTGAAGCCATGTGCCGGCTGCTGGGCTTCTCTCCAAGCTGCCTTCAGCACCTCGTGGCAGCGAGCCCAGCTCCTGGGCTTTCTCCCCAGGGAGCAGCCGCCTGCTCTGTCTCTCCATGGGAGGTGTGTGCTGGGAATACGACTGGGATTCACACACACACACTGCTGAGCTCTTCCCTGCGGCATACTCTGTGGGCACAAAGGTCTCTGACCCCTTGTTCTTACCTTGCAGTGACTGACCAACAGCAGAAGCAGGCAGAAAGACACCAAGGGCTCTTCCCTGGGATGATTCTGAATCCCTTAGCCTTTTCTAATATCCTTTTGTACCTGATCTTCTGGACTAACAGCAGCCAGTTTGTTTCTGTGCACCCTTTTACCGCCTGGGGGGCAGATCTAAATGAAGGGTAAAACATAGAATGGTTTGCGTTGGAAGCGACCTTAAAGCTCATCCAGTTCCAACCCCTGCCACGGGCAGGGACACCTTCCACTAGAGCAGCTTGCTCCAAGCCCCTGTGTCCAACCTGGCCTTGAACACTGCCAGGGATGGGGCAGCCACAATACACAACAGACAGTGCTGGAGCTGTGCCATTACATCTCACTTTCGGATGCAAGCGCAGTGCTCGAGCTCCCCATCCCAGGTGGGCAGACCCTCTGCTATTGTACAGAAGCCTTTGGGAATCATAAAGCACCTTCAAAAGAATGCAAATTCCCTGTTTGCCACGACCAGGAGAGCTATGGACAGGCACTGGAAAACATTGTCACTTGTTTTCTCACAAGCAACCTGAGTTCATAAGGAGGGATATCGGGTGGAAACACCTCCTTCACGGTTTGCTAAAATCATGGGAAGTGGGAATAGCAGCCCCTTGCATTTACTGGGTTTGCTGTGTATAGGCCAGGGCTAGATTTATGGAAGGATTCAGGATCTTTAAAGCAATAAAGCCACCTCCTCGCCTGCCCAGGAGCTGATGCAGCTCCCACCATCCCACACCAGTAACACCTTCCAGCACGAGTTCATTTTCCCTCTGTGGTGGTGAAGAATGCCCTTCATCAATGGAAAAACAAGACAGGGGAACACTGACAAAACCCAAGTCTTTGTAGGCACATTTGGAAGAGACTTAAGATGCTTCCAAACCCCTCTCCTCCCCCTCTTACAGCCCCCCCAAATCATTCCTGTGAGTACACAGCCTCTTCTCATGCAATGCATGCCAGGAGAGGAGAGGAGGCCCTAACCCTGCTGCTAAAGCTGTTTAGTTCAAGAGGAGCACGGCACTGTTGTCGCTCTGGCTTAGGATCATCACAGCCAATTCTGCTCCAGGGACCATGGGGTGGGAATTCCTCATTCCAACACAGCTCAGCATCATCTTACCACCACTGGGGAGCACATGGGTTGTGCATTAAACCTTAACATGAGCACCACGGCTTGGGCTCGTGTTATAGCCCAGCTCGCTCAGTTATAGGCCTGATTTTTAGCATCTGCTATCATCAGACCTGCAGAATCCTTTTGGCTTTTATGTCTTGATATTACCTACAGACAGTGGTGTGCCATGGGTCTATGCAAAAATGACCTCATCATTCCAGATACATACAAATAAAACCAAAGAGCAACAGGAGCTCTCACCTTCACATGTATTCCAGGCCATTAGAGATATTGGCTACATTAAATATTAACCCATTTCCTTATACACTTCAAAAAAACTATGTAAAGTTCATCAGTGATGAGAAGTGCCAAGCAAGAGCGGAATAACAAATTTTCCACTCTATTTTCCTCTATTTTCCACTCTGATCCAAAAACCCATGATGTCATTGTAAGGTTGAGGTCTTACTATTGACTTCAGATGCCTCTGGGATCCACAGGAAATAGGCTGATGAAGCTTGAAGGCTCCCTACTCTTGTCCTCTGCAGCTCAAACCTGACGAAGAGTCACCAAGGGCTCATTGCTCACGCTCAGCCTCGCTCAGGGGCTATCATAAGAGGTGGCCACGCAAAGCAACTGAAGAGATTAGTGGTGAGCAGGTCTATAAAGGGCTATAAAAATCAATGCTTCAGGTGCATCTTCTCCCTCAGGATGTCCATTGTATGCCTACCTCCCAGTAAACTCTAGCTTAGGAGACATCCCAGGAGATTCAAACCATGCAGGTGCCCAGAAGTCATCTAACAGTAGCCCATTGAGCACATTCCTTGGTTATCCTGCATGGAGCTGGGGCCTTAGCTGTTTGGATGTGTTGGGTGCTGCACAGGAAGAGGTGAAGTTCAGCCCTGAAATGTGGAAGGGAAAGAAGAATAATCATAAATTTACAATAGGGTCAGCACAGGAGCGTGATAGCCCAGACCCACCACATCCATTATCTTTTTGAGATAATCCTATTTAAAGCATGCTTCCATCCCTGGCAGTGTTCAAGGCCAGGTTGGACACAGGGCTTGGAGCAAGCTGCTCTAGTGGAAGATGTCCCTGCCTGTGGCAGGGGACTGGAACTGTATGGGCTCTAAGGTCCCTTCCAACACAAACCAGGCTGGGATTCTGACTATCATTTTGACATAATCCTATTTAAAACACATTTTCTCCCATATTTCCCAAGCGTCAAACTTTGTTTCTCTACTCAATCCTTGGGCAAAAATCCCCTCATTTTAAACAGGTCTGCTTAAATCTGAACAGTTTTTAAGTGATAACTAACATACCACACTGAGATCAAACAGGCTTCTCTTTCCCATTACATCTCATGTGCTGACATCTGCATCTTGGAAAACCTGGATGACATCTGGCTTCCTTGCGAGCTGCCGAGCCAGCATGCCTGTGCTATCCGGGGTGTCCTGCAGCCCAGCGCGGAGCAGGATCCGTGCGGCATCCGCCTGCTGCCCAGCACAGGCTGCATGTAGAGCTGTGGGGGAACAAGATGGTGTTGGTTTACGAGAAGCTTCCCATGACCTGGCTTCAGTGTGTGCTTGAGACCAGAACCCCCCTGTGTGCTGGGCTGCACCCCCAGAGCACGAGCAGCAGCTCAGGAAGGGGATCCTGCCCCTCTGCTGCGCTCTGGGGAGACCCCCCCCTGCAGTCCTGATCCAGCTCTGGGGCAGCAGCACAAGAGGGACGTGGAGCTGTTGGAGCAAGTGCAGGGGAGGCCATGGAGATGCTGCGAGGGCTGGAGCAGCTCTGCTCTGGAGCCAGGCTGAGAGAGCTGGGCTGGGTCAGCCTGGAGAAGAGAAGGCTCCTGAAGGGGAGACCTTAGAGTAGCTCCAGTGCCTAAAGCGGCTGCAGGAAAGCTGGAGAGGGGCTTTGGACAAGGGCCTGTAGGGACAGGCCAAGGGGAATGGCTTTAAGCTGCCAGAGGGGAGACTGAGATGAGCTCTTAGGCAGAAGCTCTTCCCTGTGAGGGTGCTGAGGCGCTGGCACAGGGTGCCCAGAGAAGCTGTGGCTGCCCCATCCCTGGCAGTGTTCAAGGCCAGGTTGGACACAGGGGCTTGGAGCAACCTGCTCTAGTGGAAGGTGTTCCAACCCTGGAAGGTTGGAACTGGATGAGCTTTAAGCTCCCTTCCAACCCAAACCATTCCATGATTGTGTGCCATCACAGGAGCTGATACTGCCCTGTGGGTTTGGCCTCAGCCTGCTCCAGATGCAAGCATTAGATTTTCATAGAAGGAAACAAAGCCAGCCAAGGGAACACACAGAGGGTGAAAGATGACTTTTCCCAGCTGCAACACCCAGCCAAGCACAAGGAATGGCACAGCAGGACTCAGCTTCTGCAGCCATGTATGCCTACAGCAGGAATGGGATGACTAAACCTGCACAATCAGGGGCCAGTCCTTTACAAAGGTCCCTCTCCAGCATCCTTGTAGCCCCCTTCAGACACTGGAAGCTGCTCTGAGGTCTCCACACAGCTTCTCTTCTACAGGATCAACAGTCCCCCTGTTCTCAGCCTGTCTCCACATTGGAGTGCTCTAGCTCCCTTACAGCACAGGTGCTGGGCAGCTGACAGGCACAAGGAGCCACCCCAAATGTGGACATGGTCAGAAGAGCTCAGCTTTACTCCCCGAGGCACTGGAGGGGGAGATGGTCGCCAGTGAAGCGAGGCATGAAGCAAACCTGAGAAATGGGAAAGTTGCCAATCTCAGCAATAGCTGAAACCATTTATATATAGGGGAGGGTTTGTCAGAGGGAGACGTGATACAAGAGATGCCTCAGACTCTCACGCTGGGAATGCCAACTCCCTGGCATTACTATAGCAACTATATTCACGTTCAAGCTCTCATTATTTGCTATAAGCCATTCCTAGGCAGTTTGCTGAGGAACTGAGGCTTGAGAGCTTGTGGAATCCTATTTGTCTGCCCATCCTAATGGTTTCAGAGTGGCTAATTTCAACCCAATTTGATGGCCAGGCAGGAGTATCAAAGATATGAAGGTCCTGAGAGTTCCATACAAAGGAAGCAGCTGGGTACAGAGAAATTAGCATCTGGGTTCTATCCCCCTTGGGGAAAGGCCCAGAGCAGGCTGGCAATTCAGCATCAGCAGTCCAGCAGGAAGAGAGCCAGTGAATGAAAGCTGCAAAGAAAACCCCCAGGCTTCACATGTCAGGCTGCTCCAAATCTTTTGCATACACGCTTCTAGCATCTCCTCACAGACACAGTGTGGGCTGCTTTGAGGTTGGGCTTGTTATTAAAGCTCGCTCTTGCTGTCATACAGAGGGTGAACAAATAGCTCAGAGGAGCCTTACCTGTACGGCTCTTCCCATCCTTTGCATGGACATCAGCACCAAGGGACAGCAGTGTCTGGATGGTGCGTGCGTGTCCTTCCTGCAGCAGCGAGCACAGACACAAGGAAGAGTCAGCAACGTGCAATTCCCAACTATGCATGTAACAGAAATAACACAGGCCTGAAGAGAAAGAAGGCCACAAGGGAGCTGGTCCTAACCGCATATGGCAGCTGGAAGGGCATAGACACAAACCTCATCTGTCATGGTCAGATGTGCAGCTACCAAGAGCTGCTCCAGGTTCCAAAGGAAATCAGGGTCATAAAGTCCAAGACCGGTTTGTGTTGGGAAGGGCCTTAAAGCTCACCCAGTTCCAATCCCCTGCCACAGGCAGGGACACCTTCCACTAGAGCAGCTTGCTCCAAGCCCCTGTGTGCAACCTGGCCTTGAACACTGCCAGGGATGGGGCAGCCACAGCTTCTCTGGGCACCCTGTGCCAGCGCCTCAGCACCCTCACAGGGAAGAGCTTCTGCCTTATATCCAGCCTAAATCTCACCTGTTTCAGTTTGAACCCATCACCCCTTGTCCTATCACTACGGTTCCTGATGAGGAGGCCCTCTACAGCATCCCTGTAGTCCCCTTCAGACACTGGAAGCTGCTCTGAGGTCACCAAGCAGCTTCTCTTCTCTTCCATCAGGGCTTTTAGGCAGGGATGGTCCAGGTACAGCAAACACACTGCTGTTGTCCTATGGGAGGTGGCCAGAGACATGCCACCAGACACCTTCTGCATCCCTTCCACTGGTAGCGCATGAGAGGAGTTGGGAGTTTGACCCTCAGTCAGTGTGCCTGCACATCTTGCATGGCCTGAAAGCAATTTCAACCCAGCAAGAGGCATCCCAGGAGCATAACTGAAACAGGAAGTTCAGGTTAGATCTAAGGCAGAAGTTCTTCCCTGTGAGGGTACTGAGGCGCTGGCACAGGGTGCCCAGAGAAGCTGCGGCTGCCCCATTCCTGGCAGTGTTCAAGGCCAGGTTGGACACAGGGGCTTGGAGCAACCTGCTCTAGTGGAAGAGGTTGGACGTGGATGATCTGAAGGTCCTTTCCAACCCAAACCATTCTGGGATTTTATCATTTTCTCTCAAACATTTAACACAATGCTTTAAAATCAAAAGTGTTCAATTATGTCCAATAGTCCTTAAAATCACATCAAAGTGCAGAGCTGTCTGTGGTGGTGGTAGCTCCACCACCAAACACTGAGCAATGCTTTGGCAGGAGCCATGTGATAGACACATAACCCAGTCCAGATCCAGCCAGCTTCAGATCTGCTTTTAGACCTGTAGGTCCCGTATGATCCTTCTGATTGTGGTCCATAGATCCACCTTGCACAGCTGGAGGCATGAGGAATCGGGAGGATTGTCTCCCAGTGTGGCTCTGGAGGAGTTAATACAGAAAGGACCTTGGAGAACCGGGTGACACAACCTAAAGGTGTTTCTTAACAGAAGTTAGGGCACTAATTTGTCCCCTGATCCTGCCTTTGCCTCTCCAGTCCTCACTGCCAGTGAAGAAACTCAATTAAACTGCTTTTAACTTCAGCAGGTCCCACAAGTGGAGGATCCCTGATTTCCCCTCCAGAACTGGCTACCAGCTGACAAAAGGACCAAATGTCAGCAAAAAGCCCTGTTTTCCTACACTGTAAATTCACTTCCAAGTACCACAGGGACCTAGAAGAGCTCCTACCATGGTGCATTTCAGCTCAGGGAGCAGAACTTGCTCACTACAAGAGAGATATTGAGGTGCTGGAGTGGGGCCAGAGAAGGGCAACGGAGCTGGGGCCTGGAGCACAAGTGCGATGGGGAATGGCTGAGGGACCCTGGGGGGTTCAGTCTGGAGAAGGCTCAGGGGGGACCTTGTCACTCTCTACAAGTGCCTGACAGGAGGATGGAGCCAGGAGGGGCTGGGCTCTGCTCCCAAGGAACAAGGGATGGGACAAGAGGAAACGGCCTCAAGCTGCACCAGGGCAGGTTTAGATGGAGCTGAGGAACAATTCCTTCCCCAGAGGGTGCTCAGGCATTGGAACAGGCTGCCCAGGGCAGGGCTGCAGTCACCGTCCCTGCAAGTGTTCCCACACCGTGGAGACGAGGCCTCAGTGCCATGGGTTAGTGGTGGCCTTGGCAGTGCTGGGAATGGTTGGACTGGATGAGCTTAAAGGGCTTTTCCAAACCAGTTGATTCCATGATCCTATGATGTGAACTGCTGCGCATCCCACAGCACCCTCAGCACCAGCATCTCCTCAAGGATTACTCTGGTATTTGTAACTCCCTGTGAGCAGAAGCAGAACACCACGCTCACTCACACACCGTCACCACTCACAGCGTCCTCTGCCTTCCCCCTGCCAGCAGCCAATTTAAAACGCAGCAGGGGAAGATGCAGCACAGCCCCCACAGCCCTCCTCTCCGCTCCCTTCTCCATAAATAAACCCTCTCTCCCTGAATAACACGCCTGACTTTGTAATGATGGCTTCAGTGCAATGAATTAGTCTTTGTTGTGTAGTATGAGAATGGAAGGCTCTTATTTTTAGCCCTAACACCCCCTCTTTTCCCCCCCATCATCATCATACGACTCAGTAGCATCTTCCCCTCCCCTGCTCAAGGCTCCCATTTGCCTGCTGTATGTAGCAAAGACAGTGAGCCAGGAGCTGCTTTAGCTGCCACAGCCTTGGCAGCAAACGGAGTTGAAAGCATGATTTGATTTTCATATATTTATAAATGCAAAGTAATAAGAAAAGAACTAAAAACCCCATCAACCCACCAGCCAAACAAATGATGCTGTAAATATAAAGTGACACCGAGCCTCGGGAAGGAAGAGAAACGCATCAAATCTCTCCCCAAGACAGAGCTGGGATCTTCTCCAAGGCACATTATACTCCCCAATAGCCTTGCTGTTGAGCGCACCCTTGGCAACCAAAAGGGCTTTCAACGTGGCTTCTTAGAGCACGAGGAAGAGAAGCTGGGAGAAAGACCTCTTTTGTGGGAGCCAGCAAATGGCCCGGCTGGGTCCTGCTGGAGGAGAATGCTGTTGCCAGCACTCCAAGTAAGTGTCATTGATGCTTTTGTGGGAGCGGGGCGCTGGGTTGTGCTGCTTCATTCCCACTGCAAGTCTAGACTGGGCTCTGAATGCTGCATGTTAGAGCTCACAGGGTTTAACACGCAGGGATCGGAGCAGGGACCTCCCCTTGCTGCTGGCAGCTAGCATGCTGCACACTGCTGTGACAGCACCAAGCATAAGGGAGGCAGCAGGCTCCTAGGAGGGATCCTGGTTCGTGCTTTTGGGATGGGCTCTGCACTCACAGGGAGCGTTGCAGGATCCACAGCGCATCAGGACCCACTTCCTGCACAGATACGAGATGAGAGGAGGAGAAAGCTCAAACAACTCCTGCTGCCTGGAATTCAAAACAGCTTGGAGTGAAGGACAGAGACAAGCATCAGGAGCTCCCTCCACCTCTTCTCCTTTCCTTTCTCATGTCTGGCCATGGACAAGCCAGATTCCAACCTGCTGGGACAAACTTGTTTCACAGCACATCTTCCGTCCAGGATGCTGCTGACACGGAGAGTGGCTGCTGACCCACTGGGACCCAAACCACCAGGGCTGAAGACAGACAAAGAAATCAGAACAGCACTCCATCCACATCTCTTTTGCCAGGTGAGTGAGGAGACATTGGTGAAGAGCTGCCACAACTCATGAGGTGCTGGTACCAACAGCTCCCAACAACGAGCAGGCTGGACTCTCTTCTGCATAATCAGCAGGTCAAAGGAGGTGATCCTGCCCCTCTACTCTGCTCTCATGAGACCCCACTTGCAGCACTGTGTGCAGTTCTGGTGTCCCCAACATAAAAAGGACATGGAACTGTTAGAGGAGGCCATGAGGATGATCAGGGGCTGCAGCACCTCCTGTATGGAGACAGGCTGAGAACATTGGGGCTGTTGAGCCTGGAGAAGAGAAGCTGTGTGGAGACCTCAGAGCAGCTTCCAGTGTCTGAAGGGGGCTACAAGGATGCTGGAGAGGGACTCTTCATCAGGGACTGTAGTGACAGGGCAAGGGGTGATGGGTTCAAACTGAAACAGGGGAAGTTCAGGCTGGAGATAAGGCAGAAGCTCTTCCCTGTGAGGGTGCTGAGACGCTGGCACAGGGTGCCCAGAGAAGCTGTGGCTGCCCCATCCCTGGCAGTGTTCAAGGCCAGGTTGCACACAGGGGCTTGGAGCAACCTGCTCTAGTGTGAGGTGTCCGGCCCGTGGCAGGGGTTGGAGCTGGAGAAGCTTTAAGCTCTCTTCCCTACACTATGCACTTTGGTCCAAAGGCAGTGGACTGGAGTCAGAGTGTGGGTCAAGCCCTATACAAGGCACAGCCAACTGGATGAGTGGTGAGTTGAGTCCCATCACCACCCACCTCCACTCCTGCACAGTCACGTGCAAGGCAAGAGGGCTCATTAACCCTCAGCACAGTCAATGGTGTGGGCTGGAGGGTGGTGAACAGAGCAACTGATACTCACCATCCCTGTGCACAGCTGGACACACTTCATGAGGGTCTAAAACCCATTAAATAGGGTATGGGACTGGTCAGGAGCAGACAGTGACAGAGGATGAGCTGAAGTGTAAATGCTCCATCAGAGGTGAACACTGAAGCCAGCCTGGTTTAGATGCCTGCTTGTAGCACAACAAACTGGCAGAGATGCTGTAGAGTGACAAACCTTGGCTGCATAGTGCAGTGCTGTGAGCTGCAGGGCTGTCGCTCTCTCATTGACATCAACACCCAGCTCAGAGACAACAAACTGGATAGCTTCATCCTGTGCTGTAACTGCTGCCCTGTGCAGAGCTTGAGCACCTAGCGCATCCATGGCTGTAGGACAGGCCTGGAATAGGAGAAAAGGGAAAGGAAAAGCAATGAACAGCTTGGCCAAACCTTCAAGGACAATCACAGCTGGAGCAGAATCCTGTCTGCTTGCCACGGCCATGGTGATGAACATGTGGGATGTCCCCAGCAGGATCACTGCTGTTGGTGGCACCACCATTTGCAGACCAGAGCAGGCTTTCTGCTGATCTTAAGAGATAAGCAAAACTAGTACCAAAAAAGAGCAAAGCCAATTCTCTCTTCTGCTGGAGCACATACAAGGGGGTTTAGCTCTTCAAACCAGCAAGAAACAACCCATCTCCAACTGCTGTGCTGGTGCAGAAGCAGCTGAAAACAGGTAGAGACAGGGAGATGGCTGGACGACCTTATGAGATCTCTTCTGTGAGTCTCTGACCATCAACCACAATGACACTAAATAAAGAAGGGTAACAGAAGTAATACACAGTGAGTACACTCATCTTAAAGGGTATAATACACCCTCTTGAAGTCTAGTGGGCCTGACTCATGGTTTTATAATCCTAAAAGGTAGCAACACTGCCATTAGTGTTTCCAGTGCTGCTTCATGGCACTAAGCCAGGGCATCACAAGGAGCAAATCAAATCAACTGTTCCATCTTCACTGCCTGAAACGTGGGACTATGAATATAACCACCCTTCACAAGTGCTTCATCCTGTAAGGGCCAGATGAGCAAAGAGAAGCACAAGAACATCTGAAGCCAGCAAGCATCTACGCACTCAAACACAACATGGGCATCAAACCATCTCTGTATTACAGCTGAGTAAATCCAAAGCTTATGCTTTTGAGAAGTGTGGTACCCCCTTCCCTGGCCCGCTCTGTGCCATGCTGGGGGCTCAGGTGGCCAATTCCACCTCCCAGTGTGGCACAAACAGATTGAGTCCGTGATTCTATGACTGGTTTTGCCATCCTGCCAGGCCAGTGACGTGCACTGGTTCACGATGGTGCCCAATGAACACCAGATCTGGTGCAGGGGAGAGGCAAAGCAGACAAAGAGGCACAACCCCACCTCTGTGGTGGGCTCCAGCCATCTCACAGCAACCCAGCAGGCAATAAGAAGGCAGTGGTCAGGTTCCTGCTATGTACAACTGGCTCTGATGACATTCCTTTATGCCTTGTGTGCTGGAGAAAACCAGGGATTACTGGGAGATAACATGAGAACAGCAGCTGCCATGAGAGAGGGAGGCAGAGCCGGACATCTCAGTGTTATCCACCCTCAGCACTGCCACCAGAGCCACCACCACACTGAGCCCTGGCACTCCCCAGTGCTGGTATTGGCTTTGACACAGCAAATCCTGTCCCCTCCTGCCACTGCCTTGTGTCTCCATCCCCATTCACCAGCTACAGGGATGTATCTCTGCCACAGGGCAGGATCTGCACTACAAGTTAAGTCCTGGTGCTCATCTCCAGGGGAAATTCCCCTTCTTTTGCAATTCACTTCTTTACACGTTGGGAATCTGCTCCACAGGAACACATGGATTACCTGTCCTGGCAGTTCTGGGTCAGGTTCTGGAGGAGGGAGCTGAGGTTTCTGGCACCTACCTGGTGTTTTTCCAGGAGCAGCCGGGCAATGCTGATGTGCCCGTTCTGGACAGCATCCATAAAGGGAGTGACTCCACATTTATCCCTGCTGTCAGGTTTGTAGTGGCACCTGGGAGGGAAGGAAAAAGCCAGGACAAAGTTGTTGCTGGCTCCAAAATCCTTCCTGTATGAGTTGCTTTGCACTGTTGGGGTGGGAGACTATTTGTGGATGGGTTTGGAAATGGCATACACCATGGATAAACCTATCTCACTGCTTTATGGACTGGATGTGGTATGCTGGGGTTTTCTGGGGTGAGAGATCTGGTATTCAGCTAATGCGGCTTGCTACAGGAAAGCCAAGGCTCTACAGATGATTTCCCTTGCCTCCCAAAACCAGGATGTGTTTGAGGTAAGAGGCAGAGGACAAAGCCATATCCTCAGGTAAGACCACCCCATACAAAATCAAAGCCCAGAGATCTCACTCAGATTAAAGCTCCATTGAAATAAGGCTGAATTAAAATGCAAATCCTGGCTCACATCACAGGAATATGTTTATGCTGGGCCAAGCCTGGCCAGGAATTAAGGCTGGGATGAGCTGGTTAAGAGGAGCTATGGTTGTGATGCCCAGGGAAAGCTGCTCCAGCTCTGGCAGTGCTGGTTTGGAAGGTCTCAGGGTCAGGATGAGATTTAAAGCTGATTTAAGCCATTTCACAGCAGTATCCTGGGAGCTACAGCCTGAGAAGAAAGCCTGGGAGCTAAGCCCAGCCTGGGGGGGTCAGTCTGGAGAAAAGAAGGCTCAGGGGGGACCTGATGGCTCCCTACAACTGCCTGACAGGAGGATGGAGCCAGGAGGGGCTGGGCTCTGCTCCCAAGAAACAAGGGATGGGACAAGAGGAAACGGCCTCAAGCTGCCCCAGGGCAGGTTTAGATGGAGCTGAGGAACAATTCCTTCCCCAGAGGGTGCTCAGGCATTGGAACAGGCTGCCCAGGGCAGGGCTGCAGTCACCGTCCCTGCAAGTGTTCACACAGCGTGGAGACGAGGCCTCAGTGCCATGGGTTAGTGGTGGCCTTGGCAGTGCTGGGAACGGTTGGGCTGGATGAGCTTAAAGGGCTTTTCCAACCCAGTTGATTCTGTGATTCTATGGCTCTGGAGCAGCTGCACCCAGAACTGAGCTGTCAGAAAAGTGTTTTGTTGTTATCATGTGGCCTTGGACACACTGGGAATGAATCAGCACAGAAAAGGAGCTGTTACACAACCAGGGTTTATGTCATAGCCAAGTCAGAGCCTATCCAGAGAGCACCCGTGTCTCAGAGGGCTCTAACCAGCTGTGAAAAATCCCAGAGGAAATGGACACAGCCTCGGGATCGCATGCAGGGCAGCTGTGCAGCCAGGCTTCCCGAATAGAATGAATGCCTTTTTGTGTCCTGGTGGCTGGAGTGAGCCTGACAGTGGATGGGAGGTGGGGAAGAGCTGGGAGAATTCCTGCTTACCGCACCAGGAGCAGCTCCACAACGTCGGAACAGCCGTGCATTGCTACGAGAGAGAGAAACGCCACTGATTTATGCTTTCATGCCATACAGTGAAACACAATCACCTTTCTGACCTTTTTGGCTTACTGACAATGAGGGAATGGCTTCCAAGAGGCTTTAAATTCAAAGCTTTGGGGTTTTTCTCCATACCTCGAGCCTTCCCTTCCCCTGATCCTATAGGAAAACACCAGATAAACCACAGAAAAAGCACCACTTGCCTCTACCTGCTGAGTACAAGCAATTAAGCTGACACAAAGATCTCTTCTTGCAAGTATTTGGTAATCCCTGGAGTGAAATCTGGGAGAAGCAGGATGAACACAGAGTAAGGAGCTGGTGAAAAGCTGGATAGTATTTCCAGCCCCTTCTCAGCCACTACTCATCACTCCCGTCTCATCATCCTAATGAAGAATCCTCACCCAGACAGCAGCATCTCTGAGGAAAAACAACAACAGTGGGGGAGGATTTGAACATCAGGCCCTGATAATAAAACCAAACCACACTGACATTGTATTACAGTGATGTAGTAATACACATTATATTCTTACAATGTCAGGACAACCTTGATCTGCCTTTTTGGCTTCCCCCCCGCCCCCCTTCAGGTCATTTTGCAAACCAAATGAAACACATTAAAGGCAAAACCACAGCAGACCAAGCCCAGAGCTGCTACAACAGGCTATTAACTGTGTGTGAGGGAAGAACGGCCCCCGGCACATGTGTGTTACCAGCAATAACCTTCAGACACAGCTGCACAATAGCTGCTCTCTGAAAACCCAAGGAAGGGCTCCCATCCTCCCAGATCTTGGCCATTTGCTCTCTTTGCCTCAGGCTACGGATACATGAAGCAGCAAAGCTTAAGGAATCAACATGAAAAAGGATTGCACAGGGGAGAAGATTAGGCAGGGATAACTGTGCCAGGAAGCCAGCTGGCCTGGTCATGGGTTAACGTGCTCATATCCACACCCTTGGGATGTCAACTCATTGAGACAGCACTTGGTCTTGACATGATTTCCCCCAGCATCATCTCCAGCCCCTTGTCCATACCCCTGCCTCAGGAGCTGTATCCATGTAACTGGGCTTTATGGTGGGGTGTGTGGAGGTGCTGGCACCAGCACCCACCCAGCAGCAGCCTCCAGCATCACCCTGGGTTACAACCATGCTGGGAACAAAGGTGATTTAAGCAGCTCCAGGTTTTCCTGCTGCCCAGTTGCTCCCCCACCGGCTGCTGCTCCCCCACCTTGTGGTCAAGGTCTAATCTGGACCAGTGAAATAACTAGGAATCAACCCAAATCATGGCATGAGGGCTTGGCCACAGTGGAAATCAAACACGGGAGGGGACACAGAGGGAAAACACCTCTACGAAGCAGCGAGAACTGGGTGCCGGATCCCACCATCACTGTCTGTACCCCCATATTCCAAGTGCTATCAGGCAGGGAGGAGATCAAGCTCAAGGTCAGAAGCACCCCTCTTCCTCAGGACAGGGCTCATCCTGCTCCCGACCCTGTCCCCAGACCCTCAACCCCCAGATTGTGCGGGGAGAAGGTTAAGAGGGGGCTGTGAGCCCATCTTACCAGCCTAGACATGGAAGCACAAGAGCTGGGATTGAGCAGGGGCAGGAGAACACGCAGATACACAAGGATCAGCATCCCATTCACACACCCTGCTCCTCGCCACCCAGCCTGAAAACATCAAGCAACTCATCATCATTCCCAGGTCAAACACAAGGACTAAGGCACAGACAATGCTCCTGGGCTGGGGCTGTCACAGCTGATGAGCACAGGGCAGCTAGTGAGGGTTGGAGAAGGAATGGGAGCGACAGCAAGGAGCAACATACCCAACAGATTCATTACAGCACAGCAGGGGTCTCCTCACAACACCTCGGGTCTTTCCAGAGAGTCAATCCCTATTAAATCCTTTAGGAAATGAGTTTTGGTAGCTGCAGGTTTGAGCAGTGGCTCCTCACACTCAACCTGCAGACAGTGCCAAGCCCAGGGAAACACATCCTGATCCCTACATGTTTCAGATTCAGGTCAACCTCCTCCTCCATGCACCCTCCAGCCCTGACCTGCCCCACAATGTCACCTTGGCTTGGTGTCACACACCTCTCCCATCACCCTCCAACCTCACTGCAGCTCCTAAGAGCAGAGCTAAAGGGATTTAAGCTCTGGGAACATCCATGCTTTACCTGCACTGCCTAACTCAGACAAGTTTGGGGGAAACCAGACCCAATACTCTCTAAGGCAGGACCAACTTAATTCTGCATTGGGCCATTCAACTTATTAAGACTCTGAGAACTTAACTGAGGCCCATCTTGTGCATCATCCATGAATTATGGATGGATTCATTAACATGAATCACTCCATCTCAAAGATAAAAGAGTCAGAAAGCCAGAAACCAAATGCAACCATTCAGCCAGCTCTGCCCTTCTGCTCCCCACCATGCCTGACGTCATTTGAGGTTCTTCAAACCAGTTCACTCCCTTGATGTGTCCTTTAAAACCAATGAAAGGGGCAGAGAAGGGGAACTGAACAACCCTAACAACAGTTCCTGAGTATTCCCAGCAGGAACAATCCTTCTCCTTTGCAGAAAGGCCACCTGGATTTCTCACTAGATACAACCTCCTTATGTGAGAGTACCATGACCTGTGACGATTCTTCTTGAGGTTATGCCTGGAGACCCCATATCTCTTCTGATTGCTGATTTGGACAAGGGGTAATGGGTTCAAACTTAAACAGGGGAAGTTTAGATTGGATAGAAGGAGGAAGTTGTTTACTGTTAGGGTGGTGAGGCACTGGAATGGGTTGCCCAGGGAAGCTGTGAATGCTCCATCCCTAGTGGTGTTCAAGGCCAGGCTGGACAGAGCCTTGGGTGACACGGTTTAGTGTGAGGTGTCCCTGCCCATGGCAGGGGGGTTGGAACTGGATGATCTTAAGGTCCTTTCCAACCATAACTATTCTATGATTCAATAATGACCTAATCCAGCAAGTACTCAGAGGACAAAAGATCATTTTGAGAGGTATTTCTCTTACAAAACCTTACAACAAGATAAAGCAGGCTGTTACAACTGGCTCTCAACAGACAGATCCCAAAAGGTGCCTCTCAACAGCTCTGCTGCTTTCAGGACATTTAAAATGCCAGGATAAGCTTGGAGCGTTGTAGATGTTCTGAGCCACAGGAGCTTGAGCATATCTGCCCCAGGGAGGCAGAGACGGAGACCAAGACCCTGCTCCAAGGAGGCCAAAGTCAGTGGGACACCATGAGTGCTCCTGGGATGGATCCACTGCTCCCAAGAGAACAGAACTGTTACTCACCACAAAAACATGGTCCGAGCAGAGGCAAAAGCCACTGAAATGGGAACTGAGGATCCCCCAACCTCACAAACTCAGTCTTTGGTGCACCATTAAGAACCATGAAAGCTAATTCTTGCTATTTATGTGAAAGCAACTAAAATGAGTGCTTGTCCTGAGGGGAAACCCTGCAAAGAGGCAGCAGAGCACTGACCTTCAGAGAGGCAAGTTTCCCACTAACTCCCACCATTACCCTCTTCCATTTAATTGCAATAACTTCATATTAAACTGTTTCCCTGTGGTTTTGTATCAGGACAGGCCACACTTGGCTTTTCCAAACTAACCATAAACCAAAAAAAAAGCCCTTTTTGGTTCTCCACTGCCCCCTTTCTTCTCATCTAACCTATCTGATGGCAAAGGGATACTCTTACCTGCTGTGTGCAGAGGTGTTCTCTTTATCGTGCTCTCCGTGTCCCAGCTGCATGGGGACACATCCAGCAGGTACCTGAGGACCTGGGGATGGCCCTCCCGGCTCGCAATGTGGAAGCAATTCCAGCCATCCTTATTCTTCAGCAGCGGGTTGGCTCCGTGCTCCACGAGAGCTTTGATCACCTCCAGGTTCTTCCTGGTGCAAGCCATCATGAGGGGAGTCCTGAGAGAAAAAAAGAGGCAAAGAGAATAACCTGAGAGATTGTGCCCTAAGAACCTGATGGCTTTTGATCCTCTACTGAGAGGCAGTAGGAAACTTTGCTGGCTGAAGGAGCAAGAGAAGGCTCTGGGGAGACCTTAGAGCAGCTCCAGTGCCTAAAGGGGCTCCAGGAAAGCTGGAGAGGGACTTTGGACAAGGGCCTGTAGGGACAGGCCAAGGGGAATGGCTTTAACCTGCCAGAGGGGAGACTGAGATGAGCTCTTAGGCAGAAGCTCTTCCCTGTGAGGGTGCTGAGGCGCTGGCACAGGGTGCCCAGAGAAGCTGTGGCTGCCCCATCCCTGGCAGTGTTCAAGGCCAGGTTGGACACAGGGGCTTGGAGCAAGCTGCTCTAGTGGAAGGTGTCCCTGCCCGTGGCCGGGGTTGGAACTGGGTGAGTTTTAAAGTCCTTTCAACCCAAACCATTCCATGATGCTGACTGACACCTCCTGCACCCAAACCCGTTCCAGGTATCCCTCCACCTCACACCCAGCCTCCTACCAGTCTGCCTTCTTCAAGCAGTCCACGCTGGCTCCTCTCTCCAGAAGGAAGGACACGCACTCCTCATGGCCCATGGAGGCTGCTTCATGGAGGGGTCTTTTGTAGTCGCCGTTGACCACCTCAATATCCATGCCCAGGTCCTCCACCAGGAAGGTGAGGACATCCCAGTGCCCGCAGCGGGCAGCGTGGTGCAGGAGCGTGTCCCCCAGGCGCCCATAGCGCCAGGGCTGCAATTCCAGGTCCATGGCATTGTCCGGATGCAGCTCATCCCGGAGGAGATCCAGGCGTCCCTCCTGCACCAGCCGGAGGAGCCGCCTCGGCTTCTCCCCTTCCGCCACAGCTGGAGATCTGGGGGAAAAGAGGGAAAAATCAGGATGATGGTTTCAATCCGATGGCTGCTGCCTGGGGTGGGATGGACTGAGATCACTTTTTCCCATAGGAGAAAAAGAATCCAACCTCTAGCTCCAGAAACAACAGGAATTCCTTTTTTCCATCAGTAAATCCATAAACCGGCTTCTCAGGATAACCAGAAATTCCCTTGGGAAGAGCGGAAAGTGGCCCATCCTTTAGAAGAAATAGAAACTCCTTTATCCCTTAGGAAAATACATTTAATTTTCCCTCAGAAAACCAGGACAAGGTGTGTGCCTCTGGAAAACCAGTAATTTCATTTTCAGTCTGGAAGCTTAGAAATTGGCCTTTCCCTTAGGAAAAAGGTAATCTCCTCCTTAGGAAAACCAGAAATGTCCTTTTCCTTTAGGAAAAACACAAACTGGCTGCTCCCTTGGGAACAACAGAAATCCCCTTTTCCCTCAGGAACAACAGAAAATGCCTTTCTTGTGGGAAAAACAGAAACCAACTTCTCCTGGAAAACCTGAAGTTTCCGAGGGGAAAAAGTTCTTTTCCCATAGGAAAACCAGGAAGGGGCTCTCTCTCAGGAAACCCGGACATTTCCATCAGGAAAAACAGAAACCCAGCTCTCCCTCCAGGAAACCTGGAATTCCCTTTTCTTCAGGAAAGCCAGAGACCCGCCTCTTCCCACAGGGAAAACACAATCTTCCTTTTCCCTTGGGAAAACAAGAAGCGAGCTGCTTCCGCAGGGAAGAAGTAACTTTCCCCTTTCCATCTGGAAAAGCAGCATTTGGTCTCTCCCTTAGGAAAATTGGGAATTTCCATTTCTCCCCCGGGAAATTAAAATACTCCTTTTCCTCTTCGGAAAATCACCTGCGCCCTCAGCAAATCCAGAAATCCACCGTTCCGTCAGGAACACCTGAATTTTCCCGTTTCCCCTGGAAAACCACTCATTTCCCTCGGGAAAGCCAGACGCCCCCTTACCCTTCAGGAAAACCTGAAACTCCCTTTTTCCCTCCCGAAAACCGGGAATTCTCCGTCTCCCGCGGGAAAACCCGGTTCCCTCAGCAAATCCAGGATCCGGCCTTTCCCTCCGGCCGTGACGTCACACCGGGAATGCCAGGAAGGGGAGGGGAGGGAAGCGGCCCCACCGCGTTGTTTACTTCCCGAACACGGAAGTGCCGCGCCATTGGGCATCGTCACTCTCGGCGCTGCTTATGATTGGCCAAAAGGGCTCAGAGGGGCGGAGCCTGAGGCATCGCGCGGTTAGCGCCGGGCTAGGCGCGTTCTCTTATTGGTGGATAGGGCGAAAATGGGCGGGGTTGGCGAAATCGCGCGGGAAGTGCGGGAGCTGTGGCGGCTATGGGGGGTAAGGCGGGGCTAAGGCTGAATGGGGCGCCTGGTAATGGGGGGCTCCGTGGTTGTGGGCGGGCCTTGGCAGTGGAGGGGGCTCGATAATGGGAAGGGATTGGTGATGGGGGTGTCCTTGGCCTTGGGGCAGTGGCACTGGGGGGAACTTGGCATGGGGAGGGGTTGGTAATGGGGGGCCTTGATAACGGGAGGAGCTTGGTAATTGGGGGGTCTCCTCGGCGTGGGGGAGACTTTGTTATGGGGACCCTTGGTATTGTGGTGGGTTCATAATGGGGGGGCTTGGTAATGGGGGTCTTTAGCAGTGAGGGGGCCCTTGGCATGGGGTGGGGCTTGATAATAGGGGAGGCTCCTTAACACAGGAGGGATTGCAATAAGGGGCACCATTGGTATTGAGGCTGATCCTCTCACTTCGCAGCTGGAGTATCTTCCTGTGGCTGACTGGCTCTGATCCTCAGCGTCCTCCTCAGTGATGGAAGCCATGAATGGTGATGGGGCTTCGTAACGCAACGATTGCTCAGCACATGTGTCACCTCCTGTCACTAAAGGGAAAACTGGAGAAAAGGGGAAAAACATGAGTGCAGGTGAAGCGTGAGTTGGTCGTGGGATCCCAGACTGATTTGGGTTGAAAGAGACCTTAAAGCACCTTCAGTTCCAGCCCCTGCCACGGGCAGGGACACCTTCCACTAGAGCAGCTTGCTCCAAGCCCCTGTGTCCAACCTGGCCTTGAACACTGCCAGGGATGGGGCAGCCACAGCTTCTCTGGGCACCCTGTGCCAGCGCCTCAGCACCCTCACAGGGAAGAGCTTCTGCCTAAGAGCTCATCTCAGTCTCCCCTCTGGCAGCTTAAAGCCATTCCCCTTGGCCTGTCCCTACAGGCCCTTGTCCAAAGCCCCTCTCCAGCTTTCCTGCAGCCCCTTTAGGCACTGGAGCTGCTCTAAGGTCTCCCCTTCAGGAGCCTTCTCTTCTCCAGGCTGACCCAGCCCAGCTCTCTCAGCCTGGCTCCAGAGCAGAGCTGCTCCAGCCCTCGCAGCATCTTCATGGCCTCCTCTGCACTCGCTCCAACAGCTCCACGTCCCTCTTGTGCTGCTGCCCCAGAGCTGGATCAGGGCTGCAGGGGGGTGCTCACTGCTGCTCACACTGTTGGTGTGCAGTACATGGGTTATCTTGTGTTGGGTTTGTGCACTTGAACCCTCTGCCATGGTCCTGGTCTGTGGGGTTTTGCTGTCCTGGCATCAAGGGAGCAGTGGTTTTGCCCTCAGTTCTGATCTTGTGCAAGAACTTTCTGTGTCTGACAACTCCAGGACTGGACTGAGCAGGCACCTCAGCTCTGACATCTGCAGTCTCTGTGTGCTTCAGAGAACTGGGGCCCTTTAATGCTTTGCACTGCTTAATCCAAAAGAAGGTTTTCATTTTGGGTGAGAAAAACCATTTTGAAGTAGAATCATAGAATCAAAGAATCTTTTAGGTTGGAAAAGACCTTGAAGCTCATCGAGGCTAAGCATTAACCCATGTCCCTGAGTGTCGCAGGACTGGCTTGCATTGCTTTTTATCTTCTTGCCTCATTTGCTGTTTCAAGGCTCATTTGCTGTGTTCTGAGAGCATGAAGTCGGAAAACATCCTTTCTGCTGTGCTGACGTGGCTGAACGGCAGGAAGCAGTGTCATGAACTGACCCTTGGATCCTGCTGGATGGGATCAGTCCATCACTTGCGGCTGCCATAGACACGTTAGAGAACTTTATCCTCTGCACCACAGCATAGTAGGAAAGTAGAAGTGAACCTGCATGAGCAGTGCTCTGCTGGCAGCTCAGTCAGGAGAGAGCCCGTCCTGTGCCATCGTTTTGGGTTTCCCGTGAGCGTTTCTGGTAGCAGTGAGTTGCATTCTGTGTTCCTTTCCTGCTGGCTCCCCTGTGCATGGAAGAGAGGAGCTCGTGCACGTTTCAAGTAAGGTTTTCTTAACTCTTCACACAGATTGTGCTGCTTCTTACCCATCCTCGTGGGGAAGCACTGTTCTGTGAGGGGGTTGTGATTCCTCCTTAGTGGAGGATCCCAGCTGGATCTGTTTGTGAGAGGCTCAAGTTTGTGTGTTTGAATGTTGGTTCTGACCTTCCTTGGGTGAATCACTGTTGTGTGATGGCACAGTTCAGCCTTCATAGTCTGCCTCAGCGTCCTCCTAATGATGCTTTGCTGTTACACAATTGCTGTTGGTATTATATGGTATTACAGAGAGAGCCACAAAGCTTGCAAGGGTTCTGGTTTTATGTTGTCCCCTTTTGTTCTGAAGCCTTGTACAACGCAGGAGAGGGGACCTGGGGTGAAGTCGCTGTTGCAGTGACTGCAGATGTGTCGCCCTGATGTGATGCATTGCCCTCCTTAGCTCCTCAGCAGAGCATTGTATGAGCTTCTGTTGTGACTCTATCCTGGGCTGCACCAAAAGGAGTATGAGCAGCACCTCAAAGGAGGGGATCCTGCCCCTCTGCTCTGCTCTCATGAGACTCCTCTTGCAGCACTGTGTGCAGTTCTGGTATCCCCAACATCAGAAGGACATGGAGCTGTTGGAGCAAGTCTGGAGGAGGCCATGAGGATGATCAGGGGCTGGAGCACCTCCTATATGAAGACAGGCTGAGAACACTGGGGCTGTTGAGCCTGGAGAAGAGAAGCTGTGTGGAGACCTCAGAGCAGCTTCCACTGTCTGATGGGGGCTACAAGGATGCTGGAGAGGGACTCTTCATCAGGGACTGGAGTGATAGGACAAGGGGTGATGGGTTCAAACTGAAACAGGGGAAGCTCAGGTTGGAGATAAGGCAGAAGCTCTTCCTTGTGAGGGTGCTGAGGCGCTGGCACAGGGTGCCCAGAGAAGCTGTGGCTGCCCCATCCCTGGCAGTGTTCAAGGCCAGGTTGCACACGGGGGCTTGGAGCAAGCTGCTCTCGTGGAAGGTGTCCCTGCGGGTAGCAGGGGCTGAAACTGGGTGAGCTTTAAGGTCCTTTCCAACCCAAACCAGTTGTGACTTATTTGGAGAAACTTCTGGCTGAAGCTCCAAAGGGAAACTGGTTTTATGCCTCTGTCAGAGCCATGGGGTTTATTCTGTTCTTTGCTTATACTTCGGGGTCTGTTTTTTGTTGCCTGTTGGCAAAGCAGAGAAGAGGTTCAAGAAAACCCATCTGACAGCCCAGGAGTGCGAAGCTCTTGCTGAAGGTTCATCTTCCCTGACGCAGCCATTGAGTCAAAGCCAAAGCAGAGGAGATGTAAACAGGGGCCTCCATCCCAGCCACCGGACACGGAGACATCGAGGAGGTACCGGTTTTGAATGGTTTGAAGGCTGAGGGGTCTGGGGGAGAGCAGTGCTGGTAGTACAGTGTGGGGCAAAAGGGCGTTGTGTAATCCATCCCTGCGCTTGTGCTGGTTGGAGTCATGGAGTCCCAGCTTGAAGGGACCTCAGGGATCAGCTGGTCCAACCTTTCTTGGCAAAGCACAACCTAGACATGATGTCCCAGCACCCTGTCCCGCCCAATCTTAGCAGTGTCCATGCTGGGGAATCCACCACTTCCCTGGGGACATTATTCCAATGGCTGATTGTTCTCATGGTGGAAAATTCTCCTTTTGTGTCCAGTTGGAATCTCCCCAGGAGTAACTTGTGCCATCACCCCTTGTCGTTTCCATGGGACTTCTTGTACAAAGGGAGTCTCCATCGTCTTTGTATCACCCTTTAAACACTGGATGGTGGGGATAAGGAGGGGATAAGAGCCTTCTTCTCTCCAGGCTAAACAGCCCCAGCTCTCTCAGCCTTTCCTCACACGCTTCCCAGTCCTTGGATCTTCTTTGTGGCTCGTCTCCAGCCTGTCCACATCTCTTTTGTAGAGCAGGGACCAAAACTGAGATTGTGGGGACCACAACTGAGACAGCGGGGACCAAAACTGAAGGGGAGTAGTGCCAAATAGAAGACATTGGTTGGCTTTGAGTGTTGCGTGGCAAAACCGGGGTTAATCTCTGCCTCTGCAAAACCAGGTAGCTACAGAAAGAGATTCTGTGACTGCTTCCGTCTATGGGGGTCAGGTTTGTCTTTGCATGTGTTTAGTCTCTCCTCACACCAGAAATGCCACCATGTCTCTTGTGTTTAGCTGTTGGAGACTACCTGTGAAGAGCAGCAGCTCTCCCTGAGGAACACTCCTGTTAGAAACTATTAATGATGTGATTCCTGTTTCTGGATATTCTTTAGGGTCGTTATTAACTAATAATGAGTTGATTAGGTACATGGGATGCTAAAGTGTTGCTGATATTAATGATCTGCAGCTTTCCTGGGAGTGGGAAACATTGGGATACCCAGCTTGGAGATGCTACATACATGTGTGGCTGAGGAGACAGGTAGAAAGCAAAGAAGAACTATATCCTGAATCATTCCTCAGTGCCTTGGTCACTGTGGAGATGAGACTTAGGAGCACTGTGGTGTTTCCCTGTGATGCTTGGGAATCTCTCTGTACCTTGGTGTAAGGTGACTCGCTTCACAGATTGAAGTGAGGCCGGACGAGACATCAGAGTCCTGGACTCTGTGTTCAGACTTCTCCACTTCATAGCAGTGATACGTTTGACTGTCTCACTTTAAAATACCT